CTTCCGGCATGTTTTATTCAGTAATGTATGGAAACCGTTTCTAAGCATGCAGCTTTTAGCCTGCCTTGTTTATTAAACTGCTCTTGGAATTGCTTTAAACATTGTCAGTAATTCTGCTTTATTATTTAGCAATACCCAAGTACAATAATGGAGGGAATATGTTGTTTGTTTTAAAAAAAAAAAAAAAAGAAAGAAATAGGAATACATGTTTTGTGGAGAGACAAAGCTTTTATAAGTGGTATACATAAGATACCTACATATCTGATTTGTAGGTAGTTTATTGAGTCCATTTGTAAGGATTTTGGCAGGTGAAAAATTATTTTTGTGGCTACGGAATGTTAAAAAATAAATAAAGCAAACAGGAAAAGAGTTTTGCTGGAATGCTGCAGTTCATCTGTGGGTCACTGGCATGGGAGTTGAGGTGCACGATGTGTTAACTGAGAGAGGAAAAATTGGAGACAGGAATTGATTTAGAGCAGTAGGTGTCTGTATCAGGGAAACAAACACAAACGTAAACCCCTTAGCCCGGTCAAAATACAGGTAAGGTCATCATTGGACAACAGTTGGGGTATTTCAACTTTTAGGGGATTGGTAGCTGTTTTTCTGTATTCCCAAAATCACTGCAAGATGGTGATATAAAGAACAAGAATATTTTATATTCACAAGCAGACTCCTTTTCCTTTCAATAATATGAAAAAAGGTTTGAAGTACAGTCGATAGGGATGTTGAATAATGACATTTCCAATATTTTTTTTTTAATTTTGAAACTACTTTCCAGTAAAAAAGTCTGAAAGAAAACTTTCTACTGCATACAAAAATTATAGTAGCAGAAAGCCTTTTCTTTTTTCAATGAAAATCCTGCCACAAAAACTGAGAGCTGTGCTGCTATTCTTATCACATTTATTTTATTAATTTTAATTTAAAAATGTGTTTTTCCTGAAATGTGAACATTGTGAAAATTCTTATTCTAAAATCCATTTTGAATATAAAACTATTTGAAGCTGAAAATGTTTTGCTGTCTTGAATGAGTGAGACCTAGTGGTGTATATGCTTTGATGACTGGCTGCAAATGCAGCGTAAGCCTGGTTATTGCTACCGTGAACACTTACAAGCTCCTTTGCAATTGCCATTTGTTGTGGTTTAACCCCAGCCGGCAACTAAGCCCCACACAGCCGCTCGCTCACTTCCCCCCAGTGGGATGGGGGTGAGAATTGGAAGGGTAAAAGTGAGAACTTGTGGATTGAGACAAAACCAGTTTAATAAGTAAAGCAAAAGCCATGCATGCAAGCAAAGCAAAACAAGGAATTCATTCACTACTCCCCATCGGCAGGCAGGTGTTCAGCCATCTCCAGGAAAGCAGGGCTCCATCACGCGGAATGGTTACTTGCCATCACTCCAAACGTCCCCCCTTCCTTCTTCTTCCCCCAGCTTTACATGCTGAGCATGACATCATATGGTATGGGATATCTCTTTGGTCAGTTGGGGTCAGCTGTCCCAGCTGTGTCCCCTCCCAACTTGTGCACTCCCAGCCTGCTCGCTGGTGGGGTGGGGTGAGGAGCAGAAGAGGCCTTGACTCTGTGTAAGCCCTGCTCAGCAATAACGAAAACATCCCTGTGTTATCAACACTGTTTTCAGCACAAATCCAAAACATAGCCCCATACTAGCTACTGTGAAGAAAATTAACTCTATCCCAGCCAAAACCAACACACCATTCTCCAAGGAAAATGTCTGGACACAATGAAAGCACAGAAACAAGGGTAGACTGACAGCTGAAAGGCAGATGGGTAGGTAGAGTACCTGCCACTGCCTTTCTTCTCTCCGTTGCCTGTTAGGCATTCTTTTGAACACGGGCTGTTTTTACACCACACTAAATTTTGTTACGAGTCAATTCCTACAAATGTCATTCGTTTCACTGTGATTTCAGCAAGTTCCTGTCATCCTGACATGACAGGGTCAGAATCTTGCCTGGCAAAAATTGTCTTACTATCCTAACCTTGACAATTTACTTTGGTGAAAGATCTGTTTGTAGGAGTTTTGCCCCTGATAAGATGGCAGAATATAGAAAAATTCAACAAAATTCAACAAAATAATTATGTTCTTTGCCATGTGGTGCTGCAGGAGCCTTCAAAATTCAGCTTTCCAGAGGTGATGTGTTTCTGTTTGTTGGAATGATATATGGATATATTTATAAAATATACATTTATAAAATATTTATAAAAATTTTGGCACCAAAAGTTTTCCACTGACAACAGTTTTTTCTGTTTTAGAAATGTGCTAAATATATAGAACTAAACTTACTGATAGCAAAGGAAGTTTCTAGACATAGCACCCTGTACCATTTTGAATATCTGGTGAAAAAATATTTTTGATGTATTTTAGCCAAAGTGTTGATTTATGGATTGCTAATTTCAGCATGCTGGATTTTTGCTTGGTCAGGTACAGAGTTCTGTACCACCTCTGAGCTTAAAACTCATGCGGTTATAATTGTTATCTCAGATGATATTTCCATCAGCGTGTGGCTCATACGTCTTTGCAATGGAGGTAACCTTGGCTGAATAATGAATCGAAGTAGGCTCAGGCATCAATCACTAATGATGCTGCAGAGATATTTCGGTAGATTTGTAAATGTCATCACCCAAAGAAAGACTATGTAGTGGGCTGGGACCATTTTAAAGGATGAGAGAAGTTTCATTTTCCAAAGAAAATACTTTCTCTAGGATTAGTCAGAAGTATTTATTTAAAATTTTACGTGACTTCCTGAGGTCCTTAGGGAACCCCAAGACACAAAGTTCTAGTTTACCATACTGATGTATTATATGGACTTTCAAAAGGATGAATTTTAATTTTAAAATATGTATTTAATTAGCTTGGTATGGAAGACTTGAAGGCATTCATTATGAGGACATTTTATTATAATCCACCTGTAGGCTAAAAGTGGAGACTGCTATTCCTTAGTGAATCCCTGCTCTCCTAGTGCAGCTTTGGTTTATTTTCACAAAAATTGTTGAAATACTGAGCTAAAAATATATTGAAACCAAGTGGATCAAAGTTAGGTGTGGTCTAATAGATAAATCACTGCTTTCTCAGGTGCTGGGCTGCAGTTCAATCCAAGATATTTGACTCAGATTAAATTAATTTAGTGGTCACATCTCACATAGCTTAAAACAGTGGGATTTTCTGCTTGAGAGAGGTGGGAAATAGAGCTAGCATGAGTGATGAATCGTTTCTCACCTTTAGGTGGTCTTTTCAGGTTTGAACTTATTTTGAGGGAGAACTGAGAAGAACAAATGGTCCTACTTATGTTGTCCTTGACTTCAGAGTTAAACAAAACAAAACAAACTTGTCCCAGTATTCTGCTTTTCCAGTCAAGTGTGTGAAGGATTTTGAGACAGGTGCTCCAAATGTTGCAGTTCTCTCTATCTAGCTGAAGAATTTGCTTATTTCTATACTCCTTTAATTACAGAAATGCTCTACTTAACCTATTAAATAGAAGTTCTTTTGGCTATTATTAAAAAGGCATTTATTCCTTTTATTGTGATATTTGCCTGATTCATAAAAATTTAAATACATCTGAAGAATGTCCCATGTCTACTTTTGGAGTCCAGAACTACTTCTATTTGCACAAGCGTGAATTAAATAGAAATGGAACTGTCATATCTTAGGACTTTTTTCTGTAAACCTTAAATGAATAAAAATACTTGTATGTTTTGTTATTTAGATGAATGGGCCTGCTCTTATGAGTAATGACTGTCTGCCTCTCTACTTAATGAGTTGTTTGCCAATATTGTCTCTATTAGTATATTACAGATCACCCATTTCTGCAGTACGAGTATTAAATTTACTAATTAAGTCCTGTAAAAGACAAAGTTACAGGTTCTGGGTTTTGTTTCTTAAGGTCTAAGCTTTTTTATTTAGCTGCTTCCCCCCCTTCCCCCCCCCCCGGCCCTTTTAATTGCAAGACATTATGGTCATAATCAGACATGGTGAATAGATACCATTTTGAACAGAAATCCTTTTTGGTCAGCCAGTGATTGCATCTATTTGTGCTTGATGATTTTGTGTTTGGGATTAAGCAATGGTTGCTGTGTTTGCTTCTGTTGAGCTAACCAAAGCACAAAATTTGAAGTTAATGCTGACTTTCATCTGGCTCCATAATACAGAAGAGTACCTAATTTAGCATAAACCGTGCTGATACAAACTTAATTCATCAGCATTTTCTGACAAAGCTTGAATCGTTACAGTAAGTTTATGGCAATCAACACTTTCTGTCATTTTTGGTCTGGTACTAAAATGATCAAGGCTGGATTTTCTGTACTGTTGAATCGTTGCCTTAGATCGCAGCTCCACTATGAATTTATGCTGGTCTGCTTTCTTTTCATGCCTCTAACTCATGCCGGTGTATTTGTGACCATATGTTGGATCAGATTCAGGAACTGATCCAGTTAAACTAATTTAGAGAAACGAAAGAAAAGTAGTTTTAACTTTCATCAGTTCCCTAATCAGGTTTGTTGTGTTACTGCATTTGTGCTGGGGTAAAAGAAGGGTATCGATAGAAGGAACAAGCAGTCAAAGGTACTGAAGGAGGGGGTACTTGTTTCTGGGTCCGTGCCAGCCATTTGCTGATGTAACTTGTTCACATAACCGGGATCTTACAGTTACACTGGATCCCGAGCAGTGCCAATGGATATGGATAAAAAATGTGAGTGAAATGATCTGTATGGAATCATGAACTGATAATAAAAATAAGAAGAAAATGTGCTGCTGGATCAAAAAGAAATTTAATTTTAACTTGCATTTTATTAAATTTCACTTTTTTCATGAAAATTCTTGTAACAGTAATACAGTGAAATGGTTCAGGCAAAAAAATTGCATTCTTGTCTTTTTATGCAATTCTCCTTAAGATAAACATTCTCTTTATGCATTTCCTTGCCCTGTATTCTCTCCTTCTTCTGCATTTTATACAGTATTTTCAAATTAATTGAAACACTACTTTTTTTAAGGTTATCAGCAACCTTGGGCCTCTGGAGTGGATTCTTAACACTCCCAGTCATCACAGAGTTCATCATGGTAAGCTAAAAGTGTAACCTCTTATTCCTCAGTGTGTTTTTACTCATGGTCACTATTTGTATAATAATAATAAAGTACTAAAATTGTACTGTAAAATTAGTTTTACAGAAGGATTTTAATTTTGATCATTGCTTCACAAATAGTCCTTGTTCAGTTAAAAGTTTCACAGTATTTTAAAAAAACTTTTTTATAACTTGAATTTAATTTAAAAATTTTTACATTTAAGATTAATTATTGAGCAGAAAATAAACCTGGATAATGTGAAATAATTGGAAGACTTTGAGCAAAACAATTCAACGTTTGTAAATACAAAGAGCGATAGAAAAATATCCCATCCTTCCCCGACTAAAACATCATTAACTTGTCAATCACTAACAGATGCTTTTGCATTCAAATTCAAGCACTGAATGTGCGAAAAGACATGGTTACCTTTTAGAAGAACTGTTAAATGTTTTAGTGGAGTTTGGTTTCAGCTGTCTGAATTATTGAAAAATCTCACTTCACGCAAGTGCATGATGATTGACTTTTCATCAATATTCAGAGGCATTCAAGACTGTACTGCATATGTAAATTGGATTAATAACTCCACTGCGTACTGAAAAATATGAACATATCTGAGGAATAGAAGTGGATTTCATAGATGCCATTGGCTCATTCAGTGTGCAGAGATAACAAGTGAAAAAGTAATAGAGGAATGGAAGAACAAAATAATTTGAAACAGACTCAAATGCAGTTATATGTACAGAGGATGTTATTAATATTTATTATAGCCTCCCTATGTAAAGTGTTTATGGCACTGTGTAGGCTTTTTAAAAAGACTGTGGTGCTCTGTGTGTCTAATCCTTAAAATTTGCACAAGTACTGGTAATCCTGGAGGGAGACACTCTGCTCCTATTTGCTCAGCTGTAAATCCAAGCTAATCCTCTGATCCTGATCGGAGTTAAGCAGAATCACTCCGGAGTTGATCCAGTGTTGTACAGTCACTCCAGACAATCTCCACAAACTTGGGGATATGTAATCAATGTTTCTTTGCCCATACTTTTGATAGGACAGCTTATAAACAAGTGCATTCCCTAGAAAACAGATAGAAGGATCAGTTTTCCTCACACTAAAGTTAATAATAATGAAGGCAGGATCAGACATATGGCATAGAAGATAGAGACAGCTGAAAGCCATTAATGAGATGATTGCACATAAATGTATTTAGCATATATTTTCTCAGGTATAAACTGGTGAAATTATTTTTTGTTTGCTTTTTAATTTGTCTTTATAAATATATTTTGAACTGAGTTTACTCTCCAAATGAATCCTTTTATTTCACAGAAATTTTGGGTATGACACATTTGATTTGTATGTTTGAATCCGAGTAGAAAGACAGCAAGAAAAAGCCTAGTAAGAAAAAAGAAATTTTATAGATGTATAAGAAGTGGTGCATTACCTACCTTTTAAAATTATTTTTAGATTATAAATTGATGCTAATGATGAAGATTTCCCTTCGTAACTCAGTTGCATGTATTCTTATATATGCAATTACTGGTCTCATAAATGATTTTTGTTATAGGTAGAAATCCTTACTGCATTGACAAAAATTATGGTGGCACACTTATTATCTGGGACAGGATATTTGGTAAGTAAAAAACCAGGTGTTCTCTCTCATGTTTAGTTAGTGTGGCAAAAATATGTGTACTTTTGAATTTGATTGTTGGTTGTCCTTTTTTTTTCTTCTTCCATCAGGAACATTTGAGGCAGAAGATGCAAAAGTTGTATATGGTTTAACACATCCAGTGAATTCGTTTGATCCCATCATGCTCCAGGTGCTATAGTTTGTATCACTGACTCTGTATCTTCAACAGGCACTCATGTTCAAAAGAAACTCCTCTCTTAGGAAAAGTTGAGGCCATCCTTGTATTACTGCACAGTCAATTAAATTATCTTCAATTTCTTTAGTATTTCATTACAAACCAATTATTTCTACTCGCTATGTTGAGCGTATGCAGAGCTTGTAGTCATCATGAAAATACAATACAGTAAATTAACAACTAATTACAGTGGAGATATAACAGGCCTTGGACTGAATGATGTCCATTTTGCTGTATGTAGGGCAATATGCAGCGAAACACAGACAAAAAAATGTATTTCATCTGTGTTTGTCTTCTCTAAATATTGCTATTTCTTAAATAACCCCATGGTGTAATATCTTTACTTTTTTTATCTCTTCTGCATATTTGCTGTTCAAGGTACTCCAGAACTATTTGTGTTGACAGCATTATATAGCAGCCATCATGGTCTCAACAAAACCTCTAGAACAGGTTGAATATAGTTTTAAAAAAAAAAAAAGAAAAGAAAAGAAAGGAAAAAAGAAGAAAAAGTACTTAGTGTGGTGCTTCCTAGATTTATTGGTCCAGGTTTCACTTAAGCTGGATAAAAATTCTCTGTAAAAACCTCAGGGACTGAGGAGTATTGAAGTCCCCGTTTGCTTTTCATGACTATTCATCCAAGGAGGCAACTCAAAGAATGAGAAATTCTACCTGCAGGGGTGTCTGGGCTGGAAGCTGGAAGGATGGCCACAGCCTGTGCAATTATATCCATTCCAGTCAGAAACTAAGTAATTTAGTATGTCATGTCAAGGTCCCAGTAACCAAATTCTAGTTTAAAACTACCATAAATATAGCTATACAATATACCAATAAATACTCTGGATTGATTACAGGAGAGACAAATTTTCCTCTGGGCAGAAGTCATTGTAATCCTCGCTATAAACCAAAGACTTGATATGGCTCCTGCCTATTTCAGTCAGGTTTTCTGAACTTCTGACTGTCTTCATCTATTCCTAATTTATTCTCTTTAGACTTTGAAAAATCATTTACTTAAGAGCTAAAAATGAATAAAATATAATGTTTTATTAGATTTTATTTTACTATCATGATGGAAAATTACTTGCTCTTTTTTTCAGTTACGTCCCTTGGCTCATATTTGGAACACGTTTTGGGCCACACCTGGATTCTGCAACAAGCTTTCTGTCATATTCAAAGGGCCAGGCTGGGGACCAGGCAAACCTAGACTTGGCCTTCCTGAGGAAATCCCAGTGGTAAATAGAACATGCACAGGCTTTCAGTTTTGTGTAATTTACTTGGACCTCTTAATGCTACTGGATCAATGTTAAAAACTCTACACATGCTATTTTAAATTAGCAAATTAGCAGTCATAAAGCTTAGGGGAAGATGAAATGGGAAACGGAACTGAAGGAAATGAATGTTTTAGCTGTGTTTTTTTCTTTTTATTTGAAGGAAAAACCCTATTTTTTATTTACCTTTTCATTATTCATTTCCTAAAGAGATTTTCAAAATTGTTCTAGAGAGTACGGTAATTTCTCTTTTTCTTTTAGCTGTGAACATACGCACACAGAGTTAAACTCTGTCTCACACTAGCTAGTACGTTAAGTTTGATAGTAGATTATCTCTGTGCAATTATCTGTGCCCCTTAATCTTTTTTGTGTTTGTAAGTATAAAGAATACTAAGGAATAACAGGCTGGAGCAGGTCACTATTGAAGGCTATTATCTGTTTTGGTTCATACAGATCACTGGAAAAGAAGTTCCCTTCAATCCAAGTCTACCAGCTTATCTTAATTGCTATGCAGTTGTACATTTTGCTGTAATACTGGACTTGTATACTGAACTTCTTGGTACTGTGACTGTAAGTAATTCCTATCTTTATGAAATAGCATCTCATGCTAACAGTAATATGGCACACAACATATTTAAATAATAAAGCATTGAGTAGAGGCTCTGTGGCCTGATTCGTATCTTACTTAAGCTATTATAATAACAACTAGATTCTGTAAAAAGAATCAAAATAGATGGCTAAATTATATAATTATATAATATTAAATATACAATGTTTGACATCATTTAATAACCATATTAAGTTAAGCAATTAAATTAAAAATAATAAATGTTCCATAGAAGGTGTATGTGTCGGCTTCAGTTTTTAGGACCTCATGAAAGGAAAAATGTATCTCAGACTTGAAACTATGTAGGTTTTAAGATGTCGAGGTTGGTCATATTGCTAGGTGCCAATAATGCCCAAGCTTTAGAATGAAGATTGCAAAGGTCTTGCGGGAAGCTTGGTGTCAGCATGAGTTCAGAGTTGGAGGAGCACAGACTCAGGGCAAATTCTTCTTCCAGTCTCGAACATACAACAGCATTGCTAGAAATACAGCAAGGAGAGGCACGTGTTTACCACCTTGCGTTTGGGCGGATGGGATCTCCCTGGTAACACTATGTAGTTCCTCCGTGGATACCTGGCAGTCTCTGAAGGTGAACTATGAGGCCATCTCCGCCTACAAGAAGTGAGACATTAACTGCTTCCGTGGTTTCACGCCTTCCAACCTCCTTTTCATTCTTCCTTCCCTGACAACTCTTTCTACTTTACTAAAGCAAAAATCTTCTAGTTAGGAAGCATAATTTTAATGCATCTAATATTCCCCCAAAACAGTCAAAGGCCTACCAAAACATCACAAAAGTCTCTCAGTTTGATAAAACGCCCTTTGGTCGCCTTCTTAAACCCTTTCTAAGACGTCCTTGGTTAAAGAGCAGTCTTGTTGTTGTGTTTGTGTCACCCACGTTGTCACAGGCCTGCTGTCAGGGTGCCAAGGGCCCCCTGGGTTCTTCAGCCTCTGCTCGCCTGTGGACCTGCCTCGTCCCAGCACGCTTGCCCAGCGACCTCTGGCCTTGGCCGATGGTGGTTACTGTGCCCTGCCCACCTCGATGGGTGCTGCAGGACAGCACCCTTCCCGCTGGGGCCACGGCCCTGCCCCTCCACCTGCCACTGGCCCCCCACCCCTTCCCCAGGGAGCAGCCCCTCTCGCTGCGTCCCGATGCTTTTGTCCATGGCCAACATGTCTGAATCCAGCCAAGAGGCAGATTTCTAGAAATAAGTCTCTTTCACATATCTGACCATGCTCATCCATGAAGGATTCCAGAGGATTGCAAAGCCATTTCAAAGCTGTCAGAAATCTTGTCCAAACATTGATGTATTGGTCTTCCGACTCAGACATTCCTCTTGCTTCCCAGGGCAAGAAGGGCAGGAGAGAGACTGTAATAATTTCTTGGGGTATGTAGAAACAGTCTTATAGCAGCTGTGGCAGCTCTGCATATACGAGCTGCTACAGCTCTTTTTTTTTACTTTTTTGGTTAGATGTGTTCTGAGTAGCACATCAGACCAGTAGAACAATGCAATTTTTGAGAAAAATTTAAAGAGTAAGTATTTTATGTAGTGTTCCCGATATAAAAGCTACCTCAGGCATACTCTTCTGATTAATACTAAGTTATTCTACACATCGTGTTCACGGCTATAGAGGGTCACATTGCAACTGCAGGGAATTTGGAGATTACTAAGCCATCTGAGGTTTAGTCTATTCTAAGAAATTTCTGAGGACAAGAAATTAAGCCAAAGGTAAGGGTAAATACCTCCAATGTATACAAGTTATACAGTATACATGATTGCCAATATTCTTATATTGAGAAAACCTCTGCAAGACTTTCCGGATATGCTTCTAGATTCCTACATACCAGCAGCAAGTCATATTTGTATAGGGATCAAACTGTGGGTTTTTTTGTTTGGTTGGGTTTTTTTGTCTTTTACTTTGTTACTGTTGCTTTTAGCAGCAAGAAGTAAGGAGTCTGCTCATGAGTTTTTTCGTATTTTATTCTTTTCTCTTTTTGCCTTTTTCTGGTCCTGGAAGGAAAAATGGATGGTCCAAATTATTTTCTCTGCTGATAACTGCAGCTTTAAGAATAAGTAGTAGGGGAAGCTGAAAAATGCACCCAAGCCCCAGATGATCATTAAATTCTTGCAATCATGGAGGAAACGTCCTGAAGATCCGCCATGTATGAACTTACTGTAGAAAAACAGCTAGAAAATTCTCTGCACAAAACTGTAGGGTAATAAGGTAGTAAGGATAAGAAGGAGAGCATGGGGGACTAGAAGCACCTCATCTCAGGACATAAACCTTCAGCGTGGGTGTAGAAAGTGCTGTCCCAAGGCAGAGTTCCAGCATTGCTCTGCAGTACAGTGGGGAAGCTGTCATGAGAAGGAAGCTTGTGTATGAATAACTTTACTTGGCAAAAATCTTTCTTCAATATCAGTTTTCCACTACACTGAGTTATGAAATGTCTATGGATACCACTGGAACTTTCTGTCTGGCTATGAATTATGTCATAATTGTGGCATAGCTCCATAAATGGAGAAAGCTAACTGTTTTCCTCATTTTTAGGTATAAGTTCCATTTCATAATAGCTATAAGACACAGCACACAGCTATTACATTTCTCAAGTGATTACAGTTGCTCAGTGTTTGGTCTCACGCCCTGTAGAAGTGTTAAATTTCTCTACACGTAAAGAGCAACCATATACCTTCGGTCTGAATGACTTACATTTAACTTGCAAAAAGAGCAAAACAAGAAAGAACAAATACATATTTTCCACAGGAGAGAGCATACAGTGTTTATTTTCTATACAGTGATCTGCACTACATCCAGAGAATAAAAATTACTTCTGAGCTCTGCACATCTAGATCTGATCCAAAGCTCATTGAAGAAATGGGATTTGGATCAGTCCCAGAGAGAGTGCTAGGAGTGTAAAACTGCAGTACATTCAAAGCAAAAGTCTCATAGCTCCAGAACTGCATGTATCACATAAATCAAAGTGAAGTGTACCTTAAACTCATTATGCAGTGTCTTTTTTATTGCTGATAGATACTGTAACATTTACTGTGCTTATAATGCTATGAATATACGAGCAGTTTCAATTAGATCTCTTGAAAGTTGAGAACACAATTAATATATCCATTCAGTAGGACATCACCAAGTACTATATATGGAATATTGCTAAGAATTTACAATTTTTTTTTAGGAATTCTAAGTTAAAATAAATTCATACAGACAAAGACACCTAACAATAAAAAATTCATAGCATTGTGGTAGCATTCTTCATTTGAATGTCGAAAGTGTCTGATATATGACAGCAGGACATCTGTTACATTATGAAATGTGGTGACATTGTTCCTAGCAGTTCTGTGGAAAGACTGAACGCACCAGGATGAGAAAATGCATCCATGTTATTCTTCAAAAGGAATAAAACAATCTGAGTCCTTTGAAATATAAAAGTCAGTTTGGAATCTTTCAATTTTCATCTAAATGCACATTTGGAATGGCATATTTTCTTCATTTAAATTAATTATTTTTTCATTACTGACAAAATATGAAATAATAATGCAGTGGCAATCTGTTGATTACAAAGCTGTGTAAACTTGTTCCCAAAATTCTAAAACCTGCCTTTTTTTTAAGGCTCCAAAATATTTTTAAAGCTTTCAATGAAATCAAAATCCAACAGAAATATTTTTTTCTGTTTGATTGCAGCCAGTAACCACATTGCAAAGTTGTAGCTGACTTGTAATTGGGGAACCTGCTGTGGTCCCACAGGCTTCTCTGTTTATACAAATACTCCAGTATATAAATACTCATCTATTTTATATATACATCCATGCATATTATGTTTAAGTGGAACAAAGATGCTAGCACTAACGAAGGTGTAAAAGGCACATTCTTTTCACACTGCAACTTGCAGTGTGTAGATTTAATATATGATGTTTAGTTTAGCGATATAACCCACTGACTATTTTGTTGATTTTGGTAGAGTAATGCCTAGAAAATGGATCCCTCAGCTGCCAGCATCCACTTCATAGGGTGATACATGTTTGAAGGTAAATAAAAGAATCAAGGCAGCGTGTAACTATACCACTGGAGCTGTAAAGAGAAAGTTATGGAAGCAAACTAATAATGCTAAAATTTATGTTACATGGCTGGTTTTCTAAAAGCTGTTATTCCCAAATGGCATCATGGTGTATTTCCCTGCAAATTTCTTGGTAGTCTTTGACTAGGAGCACAAATGAGGGAACACATTTTTTTGCTGTATGTGAATGTGGTGCATGTATCTACAGTGAAGGGTAACTTACACTTTCTACCTTCATCGTTCTCAGTAAGACTTTATGCCTCACCCTTCATCATTCCAGAAAGCTGAGGACTTGGGAAGTGGAAGGCTGCAACACCATACTCGGACATTATAGTGCCATGCATTTGTGTAGGTCTGATGATAATGCCAGTTTGCAAATAACTGTGATCTGCAGGTTGTGCTTTAGATTCCTCCAGTCCTTCACATTCTGGGCCACAGATGGTATTGGGCCATAAGAAGTTTTACAAACAGCTAGTGTTCAAAATGTTATGGTTCAAGTAGGAGAGCATCTGAAGAGAAATGGAAATTGGCCTGAAAAACAGAATCTGTAAAATACAATCAGGTAGTTATTATACCAAAGAACCGCATTTAGCATTTTAACCATTTAAAGATAAAGGCTTGTTTATATTTTGGTTTGATTTTCCTAAATTATAAGTTTGCTTCAGTTCTTTCTTCTGATTTACTAACATACGTTAAAATGTATTTCTATTCCCTTTTTTCTTCTGGAAATCCATGTTAAAAACTGAGCTGCAATTTATTAATTTCCTTTCAAGTTCTTAATCCATGCTTTTTTCATCTGTGGTTAGATAAATGTGGCGAGTCAAATGATAACTCCAGGCTCCAATTTTGCACGTCTTAGAGAAAATGTTTAAGAGAAGTTTGCAGGCTCATACTCCAAATTCTTGTATTCAATCCTTTCTTTCTTTGTGGAGAGAAAGCTGCAGTCTGAATTACAATATTACAGTGTCTCTAATATCAAGCTTATCATTATTTCAAGGCCCATCAACAACAATATAAAAGAAAAACAACAATAAAAATTGTTATTGTTTCTTGAAAATATGTTAACTTTAAAAGCGTAATTTTTAATTTTTTTCCTCCTCTTCTAGAAATGGCAATTAAAATATATCTTTAAGGAAAGAAAAAAAAATTTGATACAAGTTATGAGAGAAAACACCACTAAAAATACAACCCAAAAGTGTCTGCTTTGAAGAAGTGTTTCCATCATCCACTCAAATCCAACTCTTAGTGTAAGGACTAAATTTAGCCTCTAGGCTTGCTGTCTAGGTAATGGCAAGAAATAGAATCATTCAGAAAGTGCTCTCTCTCCACTGATTACTGGGAAAGCTTAGGTTATTAACAGATTTTTAGGCACTTCAGTAAAGGTACTTAAAGGAAGGTAGAATGAATCAGCACCTCAGTTTTCTGAAACCGGAATCACAAGGAAACCCAGATGCCTAGGACTTGGTGACTGTCTAATGCTAGCCAGCTCAGAAACACTGGGAGGGCACAAAAGGGTGAAATCATGCAGCTCTCTCAAACTGGAAATTGGAGACACCCTTATTCATTCATAGCAGGTACTGCTAGATCCTTCCTGAAGACCAATATTAACATTTGTTCTCTCAAAACCACTGCAGGTTCATTCGTTTTCCATGAAGTGTGATTTTAGCCACATATTGTAATGTAGCAATTACATGACTTGCTTGAAATTTGGATTTGATGTTCAGTTCTTTTTCCTGACTAAGGGGATTACAAAACCTTATGGTTTTTTTTCTCAGAATAGTGCCCTACCGCTGTGGAAACATTTTTAAGGCAGTCTGTAGAAGCTAGTGCATTGCACTGGAAACACAAAGCAAAATCAGACCCACCTGGCCAGAAGGACTAGGTTTAAAAAAAGGTGTAATTCTCCAACTTAAAAGTGAGGACAGTCTCTAAGGAGGAAAGTCTTGAATTCCAGTCCTAGTTCCCTGGCAAACTCCTTTATTTGACAACTAACAATCATTGAAAACCATATCAAAGCATTTCTAAGAAATTTATGGGTGAGTTCCCTTATGCCTGTGCCAAATCATGTTTTTCTTTGCTCACTTCTTGGATTTTTGTATGACCCGGTTTCTACAGGAAGCTGAAGTGGGAGTTGAACTTACTGTGACTAGATGAGCAGTTTAAGAACTACTCATTTTATTAAACTTAAATAGAGTCTGTGCCTGATTTTTGTAAAAAAGTTCTGTTCAAAAATTCTGTCACTTCAAAATAAATTGCTTCATGTTAACAGTGAAAAGTCTTTTAAACTTAGGATAGCTGTGGAATTTTTGGATTCTAGAAACTGAAGTTTTCAAAAAGAGTGCCCTCAATTTAACCTTTTATTGACAAATTTAAAACTTGTATCTGGAATTTGCAAATGTATTCCAAGTGATACAAATCTTGATAAAGGATTATAAGCCCATTAGAGCATTTTTTGCTTTCTTGACTTAAGCGACAGTCTGAACACATAACTCCTATACTGAGTCTCCCCAGGGTTCAATATCCCGTCTCCTGTGGTGGCTGACAGCAGATGCCCAGGGTAAGAGCGTAAGAAAAGTATAAAGAATATCCTTTCTCAAGGATAAGTATATGTAAGTAGATGATGGTAATCATCAGTCTGAGGTTTTGTAAGTTTATCATAAGGATTGATGGAACAGATTGGAAAAGTAGCAATGCAGTAATGAGTTTGATCTATCCTGGTATAAATCTGTGCAAGAGAGTGGCTTGACAGGTGTCATTTGTGAGAAGTGTGTTCTGGCTTGTAAACTGGTGAGGCTGCTGTTTAGCTTGCTCATTGCTGGGATTGTGTTTTCTTTGTTCAATAACTGTTTGTTAAGGATATCTAAGTAGGTGCTTGTGATTCTTCAGTAAAACAACAGAAACCTACCCAGCCTGAGTGTGTGGTTTGATGTGTTTTGCAAACATGGGCACTGTAAGTTCACACAGCTGTAAAACTTGAGAATATCCTCCTGTGGCCTCCCACGCTCACAGATACTTACCTTAGATCTCTTCAAGGGGTAGGGGCCACCACTGAAGGAAGGTGGGCATGTCACCAATTGGGATTTATTGAAATCAGGGCAGACACTCATAGATTTTTATTTTTCCAATGCCTGCAATCTTGAAGTGCAAGATGCTGTCCATAAACCTTATGGCTATTGAAGCCAGAAAGGATTCCTATAAACTCAGCAAGATCCCCTAGTTTTGTTTTGGGTTTTTTGTTGTTTTTTGGATTAAAAACCAAAGGCTTTTCAAAACTAATATTTGAAAGGAAGTCAGGGAGGGAACAAGAAAACTGATTAAATATTTGATTTTCAAAGGCAGCTGTGTGAATACAAAAAATACTTAATAAATGAAAAGAAAAAATGAAAATAATTTCTGTTTTCCTGAGTTTTGCTTATATCATTTCGATGTAAATTTTAAGGACATAAATCCTTATGCTGCTATTCATCCAAGTACTAACACACATGTTAATGTTTAAAAGTGTTTTAAGTCTGATTGAAGTAAATGGTATGAGTTGAAGAGTTTTGCTGAATTGGGAACCAAGTGTTGAGTTGTCATGAAGGGACAACGTTAATTTTGTTTCTCCTTAAATATGGTTATATTGTCACGTCATGTGAATTCTTATTCTCACCAATCTATTGGTTTTGGTATCCACTGGGATTCATAATGACAATTATAAGATGAACAAAAAGAACAGGGCTGATGGGATTTTTATCTAGAAATAATTTTGTTCCCTCTTGGGTAAAGGTATAAGGGAATCCCGTAACTTCAAGAAAACACATTGTGCAGAAGGGAATATCTTAAACAATATTTTGGAAATACAGCATTCAGGAAACAACTATAAAGGTGGTTACTCCAGATAAGTGTGCTATCCAGAGCAGGTATTTTTGTTGTAAAATTTAAAGTAACAAATTACTTTAAAAGCAGACACTAACAAGTGAGGAAGTTGAAGCTACTGTTCTGTTAAAACTCAATTTCTCTTCAGAAAATTACTCTAAATTAATTCTTTGTCTACTTTTTAACAGACATTATCACAGGGAACTCTTCTCCTGAGGATTGGCTTTATCATTCTGTCCCTGACCTCTTTCGGACTACTTATGGAGAACAGGCAAGATACAAGATGTGCTTTTTTATTTTCTTCAGTCATTATGCATTATTTATCATTATATGGAAATTTCAAGTGTGTCAGGAATTATACTGATAAAGAACTATAGATACACTCGGACACATACATTACTGTCAGTGGCTATATCTATATTGTCCCTTGCAGAAAAGTTATGGGATGGGCTACTCATGTCACCCTCTGTGCTTGCATTTGTTGGGTCCACATCTCTGATTTTGAGACACTGGCAGGCCAGTGAGACCTGCAGGCTGTCCCAAGGCTGTTCAAGCTCAGACTGCAATTATATTGTGTCAGTCCTGTGTAGCGTGCCATAGGTGTCAGATACAGTGACGGTATATGAAAAGCACACAGTGTAGCTCAGAGTAGACTCAAAATCACATGAAGGATGGTGTAGACTTAAGACTAAATTTAATCAGTATGGATTCAAATCAAATTGGGTATTGAATACACCAGCCCAGTGAGACATACACTACGGAAGTAGTCCATATGGGCACCGTGACCCTACAGAAGAATAAATAGCAGCTACAGTTTCTTACAGAGAAACTATTTTGCCCTGCCCACAGAAATGTGCAATAGAAGCTTCATTTGAGATCGAGGTGCCAGTCCTGCTTTCCACCTGCTGTTCATTATGTTTTCAGAAGGGAATACCTTTCACTTGTATGGACTGAATAGTTTATTTCAGGATGGGTAAAAGTCTGTCAATATGCCAGAGATGTGTATAACTTAGGGAGTTAATAATGTGAATTAGTAAAAATTTATAGAAATGGACCGATAAAAAGATTCTGAACTACTCATGTAGCAGTTTTCAGAATTTTGCTGTTGTCCTTTTTGAGATCAAAAGACGATAGCTATATATACATCTACGTTTGTGTGAGTTCATATACAGTTTGTGAGTATGTGTATTCTCACCCCCAGCAAATTCAGTGTTATAAGTCCATATAAGAAGTACGCTATAAAAACTTAACTCTAAGGTTAAGAAAGATGACTTGATGTAAGCGCAAGACATCACAGGCTATTTCTACATTCTCTTTTTCACTGAATTTAACAAAGAAGAAAAGACTGGACATTAATCTAAATTACTTCCCATTTCTAGGCCCAAAGCAGGAATTTTGGAAATCATCCGCTGCTTGGTCTTCGTAGGTGTGTACAAACTTGGCTACCTAAGGAGTCAGTTTTCTTCCTTGGGGTATGCATATGAGGTAAGACATTTATTTTGAAATGTCTATGGTAATGACCCTAGATTTTTTATCTTTTTAGAAAAAACAGTGACACTACAAATTTATATTTTGCTTCCTTATTTTTTATTATACTATTTTAGTAGAGTATTGATTTTTTTTTCTTATCTCTTTATTTCTCACTTTTTGTGATTAACTTGTAAGAAAATTATTGGGGTTTGCTACAGAGATGCCAATTTACGTTGAAAAAAGTCAGGAAAGTGTCTATTTACCAGTTCGTGCAAAAATAATATATTGGTGGCCATATATTTTGAAGGGAATAACAGAAATGTGTTGCTTAATTTGAAATTATTAACTCACCTTTCACGGAGCAAATCTGAAAATGCTTGGAGACTGGAAGAGTCTTAAATATCAAATATTTTGCTCTGTACTTATAGTCAAAACCAGACTTTTAGCCAAGATAGGATACTGGACTAAATAGGCCTTTGTTCTGATTAAGTATGGTCACTTTTGTGTTCTTAAGACTTATTTTTGTCCTGTTTGTGACTTTTGCTTTTTAATCTACCTTTTTTTTTTTCAGTACAGTTGACATTTTGTAATAACACTCTTAATATGATCTGAATTAAATAACACTGAATCATTAATATGATTCTGAATAACATTCCCAAGCTACTTAGTGCTGATTACCAGCAAAGACAGTTTTCAGCAGCTTATGAACGGTTTGCTAGACTAGTAGAACTGTTATCAGAAAGTTACCTTTTGGCTTAAAACCAGAAAAAATGAAATAAAACAGTAGGGATCGAGACTCCAACCTGTTACTGGTGGAGTTCAAAATGGTTCCTTTGACTTGAAACATCTGCAAAATTTATAGCAACTTTCCTAATCGGAGGTTTCTGGTAGTGGTGTGGATTCTCCTGCTTTTCCAAGAGGTCAAGAGTGGAAAAATATCTTATTCTCCTGTGGGTCTTTTTGGTCTTTTGTTTTTTGTCTTTTTACCTGGGATAGGAAACAATAATTTTTGGACAATATTTAAAGCTAGATAAATGCCACTAATCAAGAATTGTTTTGATTTTTTCCCATATTTTTATATTGTCAAAACTTTGGTGTATAAACCAAACAGTTCTTGAATTCCTTTGATAAGAGTCTGCCAGACCTCAACAGATATTTTAAGGATTTTACTTGCTTAAATATCATTTGGAAAATATGTTTACTATTTACTGAGTAGCCTACTACAATAGATGGGCTTGAAGCAAAGAATTCTAAAATTTGGCAATTAATTCTATAGCCCTTGAGATATACCTCTCAGACTTGAGATACTCCGGTACTCTAACTGAATTTGGGAAGAATTATATGTCAAAATATATAGTCTACATTATAAAAAAAAAATCATGTACTTGCCTTGCTGAGGTATGTGTGTACATGTGTAAAAGTGTCTCCTACTAAGAAGGAAGTAGAAGTAAAATTATCAGATTGTTACTTCTGATTTCTGTTGTTTGTAGTGAACTATATGGCTTCCTATTCAGTCATGAAGAAGAAAATAAAATGAAATGGTTCTTACTCTATTCTTTACATGTATCTGTCATTAAAATATTAACTTTTTTGCCATCCCTAGTTCTTTCCTACCGTACTTTCCTATCCTTTATTCTGTCTAGTGCTTTTCTTTTTGTCCTTTATATTATATGTCTCTGTTACTCTTTTTTTTAGTCCCTTGTTTGGCACTGACTAGGTAGTCCATTTTTAACAAGAAACAGGAGCACTTTGCTCACTTTTTTTTTCTTTGAAAATGCTGAAAGACTAGGTGCTCCCAGTGAGACTAGAATAGATAAAGCTTCTGAATAATGCCAATACATCAGCACTAGAGACTAACATTTTATCATAAATCAGCAAGTTTGTGTTATTAATAGCTTTTGTGATGTTTGTGATGAGCTTCAAAGGGTCCCCTATTTTGATATAAATGATCCACCATCATGGGTTTTGCTCTTGTGCTTTCAATGCATTATACAGTTTCTGGATTCATTGTAGGAATGTTCTTATGGGTGCTAATATTGTTATAATGGGATTTATGAGCAAAAAATTCTAAGCAAAGAGGAAATGCCAGAGATTTGTCAATTTGTGTTGAAAAGTCTTCAAATATTAATGTTTTTGGTCATTATGGACCTGATCATTTTGAACCAGCAGATACCAGAAAGCATAATAAATAAGTAAATAAATAAATAAAGGTTTTCTCAGAAATTGGGGATAAAATTTGTCCTAAAACTTGTTTCTTTTCAACATTCAAACAGGTTATCTATCCTTCCTAGTATAATAGTGTAGATAAGTTCAAAAATCTTGTGAGGCCCATAAACATAGACCTATCTCATAAGCTTTTTTTTTTTTAATTTCTCACTATGCCTAGTAATTTTTATCTGCTTGCTTTTCAACTTCCTTTGCTTTGTTTCTCCTTCAAATCCACTTACAATTTTTGAGAGGTGTAAATTAAACCATTTATTTAATCTTTCTGTTTGCCTCGTACATATTCCATCTTTAACATACATCTAGATTTATCTGACTTTGATCTTTTTAATGTTATATTTTCAGTACTCATAATCTGTACTATACTTAAATAATGTACTCCTTACATCGTCATAATTTTATGTTACCAAATAAACAATTCTTTAGTAATCCAGTATGCGTGAGCAATAGGAATGAATGCTCGACATCACGTAAAACAATTTTTGTTGACTTATTTTTTGGGGTCTATAAATTAAGCCTTTCAGGGCACAGGGGTGAAGAAAAATAAACTGGAAGAGGCATGATGGCACTACTCAGTGTGTCTAGAATTTAACAAATAATTCTGTCCCAACATTCTTAAGTTAATGGTGCACATTGCAGCAGATAAGTGTAAGATTGATTTTGACATACATCATGTTGAATAGTTAGTGAAAACGCAAGTCACTCCTGCCTAAACATGTTGGTTTTTTCTGTGACTGTGTTTCATATGTTCATATTTCTCATTAATATTTTAGAACCAGTAGATACGATTTCAGAAGTAAATATTCTTGCAGTACTATTTGCAGAGTACTCTAACTAGTAATAGGTGATTTAGACTGCAAATGATTACATTTGGCTCATAAAAAAGTCTGACAATTATCAGCACTATTGCATGGGAGGAAGGCTTTCTGAAAACTGGGAGGAAAATACAGAAGAAACAGAGGAAACTAGAGGAGCAGTGAGAGAGAAGAGCAGAGGAAACAAGTTGCGAGCCTTTCCTATTTTGCTATTAAATTGGCTCAGCTGGGTGTGAAAAAAGCAGCTAACGATTCCAATTCCAGCAGGAGGAGCAGTCCTGCCCTCTGGCTCCAGCCTCTTACCCTCGCTGCCCATCTAATTGGGTTGGCCTTATGCAGCCATAGATTTTTCTTCGGATAAGTGAGTTGATGCAACTTGCTGTGGAGCATAAAAGCATGCATTTTCTGTTCCTTGTGCGGTATGTATTTCAATATGAACAGTCAGGTGAAAGAAGCAGTCTCTGCTTTTTTTTGAAGAAAAAAAAAAGTGATTTTTGAGGAAATTTTTAGGTCTTATGAGAATTGTTTCCTGGGTGGAGGTCACTGATAACCTTGGTGATAAGGGCAGAGATGTTATATTTGACTGGTTGTAGACAGTAAACTGAGGAGCTAATGTGTTTCTGCTTGAGGATCTGTGCTGCCACATCCTATACTAGTTAGTTTTCTTTAGGCTGATTACTTCATGCCTGTGTAATGTGATGATCATGTGTATTACTAAAGCCAAATCATTTTCTGTCAGGCTGGGCTTGGAGTCTCCTAACCACCTGGAGGTAGCAGAAAACATTGCTTGTGTGTTCAGTTATGTGACAGTTCAGCAAAAAACTGTGATGATGGTGCACCTCTTCAAAGTGTTTCCATCCAACTGCTCTGGTTTGGCATCGGCCAGCATATTCCATGAGCTGATTTTGGTCAAGCACTGGCTGTTATTTGACAGTAGTACTAATGAGGAGCAAGTAGAAATGACAGCCATTGACATGTTGTTGGAACTCTTGTCTTAAATATTTTCACCAACTCTCATAGTGGCTGCAACTCAGTACTGAGAAAGACGCTAAAACTAAGGGGCTAGGAGTGAGGAAGGTGGAGGAGGAAATACAGATGTCTGTCTTGATGTGCTTGTTTATCTTTTACCTTTGTTTTAGCTAGGGCATTGTATTTGAGAGTAAAACTCCTCTCCCAGACTCCTCCTGCACTGCAGCTTTCTGGGCTGCCTGGCTATGAAAGCATTGGCAGGCATGTATTAATTTACAGGTAGGAAGGATAAAAATCTAGGACAACTTTCATTGGGGAAAAGAGAGAGAAAGAGAGATTGTATACACGTGTGATATTTTAAATGAAAAACTTATTTTCTTTTCTGTTTATGTGGGCATGTGGTGCATTAGAGTTATAACCAGCTTTGGAAGATACATAAAATCTTGGGCTGCAGGGTATAACTCAGCCCTTAACTAATGAAGGCAGAAGTTAACTTCGTTGTGGTCAAGTTGTTTATTTACTCCTCGAGAGTATCTAAACTTGGTAGATGCAGCTGTTCCAAAAACTTTTGTAGACAGTATTCTGAACCAAATGGACTGCTTCTCTGATCTTTGATGCAATTTTGGTATTTCTTACGAGTGTGTCAGCTAATTTGTCTGGATAAAATATATAATATCTCTTTATTAAAGAACTGATTTGCACTGTATTCTGCATTCCACAGCAGTCCCTCTTAATGTGATATATTACCACACTACTTATTTCTCCTTTCATCGTACAAAGACTTGTTGTTACCTCACTTGTTTCTTAGTGTAATTTACCAGCATTGGAATACTGACTTATAAGGACTGACTTAAAACAAATATTTACTCATAAGAACTTATTTCCACATCAACGATAGTTTTCTGCTCTGTAGCGTTTTTCCTTGGTCCCCCGTTATGATCATCTGTGACACATTTCAATGAGCAGCATATCTCATATTTGGTTTCCATTAAGGTGAAAGCTCCGTGC